CTCATCAAAGGCTCCTAAGTAAGCTCAAAAATCATGGGATAAAAGGACAAGTCCTTTTATGGATCAAAAACTGGCTAATTAATAGAAAATTAATAGAAAACAGAAAAACAGAAAAAATAGAAAACTGGCTAATTAATAGAAAACACCACACCTTAAAAAGGATATTATAGCTTTGGAAAAAGTGCAGAAAAGGGCAACTCGAATGATAAAAGGGTCGGAACACTTTCCCTATGAGGAAAGGTTAAGGCGCTTAGGGCTCTTTATAGGACGTCCTTCTTCACCCAAAGAGTGATTAACACTTGGAATTCACTGCCACAGGAAGTGGTGGGTGCTACAAGCATGGATGGCTTCAAAAGGGAATTAGATAAGCATATGGAGCAGAGGTCCATCAGTGGCTATTAGCCACAAGGTATAGCTAGGGGCTCTGGGGCAAGTGATGCTCTGTCTTCTTGGTGCTTGGGGGGGGGTGTCAACAGTGGGAGGGCTTCTAATGTCCTGGCCCCACTGGTGGACCTCCTGATGGCACTGGTATTTCTGGCCACTGTGTGACACAGAGTGTTGGACTGGATGGGCCTTTGGCCTGTTGGACTGGATGGGCCTTTGTGTTGGACTGGATGGGCCTTTGGCCTGATCCAACATTGGCATCTCTTATGTTCTTATGTTCTTAATACAATTAAAACCACATTAAAACACAAACAAACAACATAACTTGTATGTGCCACACAACTCTAATAAAAACCAGATATCTCAGTGGCCGATGGTATAAAAAATTTAAAGTTTTTTAGAGATCTTTAAAATTTAAGATCTCAGGACCCAGGCTACAGATGGGGGCCGACCCAAGGAAGGGGATGCCTGCTGCCTCAACCAAAAGCCCGCTGGAAGAGCTGTGTCTTGCAGAGATTTATTATATATATTTAATCTGCATTGAGATCCGCGTACTTTTAAGTTGATAAAGCTTGGTCACTTATGTCTCTTGAGCAAGCTAAATAGATTTTATGGTTTATGAAAGATGAAAGAGGTTATCAGCCTCAAGGTGGGGTTGGAGTCCTTCCAGAACTACAACTGATCTCCAGACTACAGAGATCAGTTTCCCCGGATGAAATAGCCGATTCAGAGGGTATACCATAGAGTCCTAGACTGAAATCACATGCTAAGCTCCTGCCCCTCCCCAGACGCCATTGACTGTCCCCAGACTTCGCCTCCAAATTTCTAGGAATTTCCCAAGTTGGAGTTGGCAACGCTGTTTTT